ACACACACTTCTATATAAGCTCCCAATATTCCTCCATCTCAAGACCCACTAGCATACTGCCCCTGCCATTTCTTCTTGCTGTCTGCAGTTGACTGGATTCTTGCTTAACAGCTACCTCCTCCACCTTCCTCATCGAGTCCCATGATATCATGGCATACCACCTCCCTTGCCTTTATTCCAGGGATGCATTTGTTTGGACAATTTCTGCAGTTTGTCTCATCTCTCTCATTGGATTAACAACCCTCATTAGGTAAGAGTAGGTGCCATGTGCTTCTTAGCTGTCCCCTACTCTCAATGCCTGGCTGACAAAAGGTGCTCATTCAAGCATCGTCATGCCTGAATCAACGTTGAACAAATGAGTGTCAAGTGTGCTGTCTTGCAGGCTGTCTGTGGGGAAGACAAAAGTTGTATCTGGAAACAAGCCTCCCACTCATCTGGGGCTAGGGCAGCTGGGATGTGATCACTTCTCTGTCACTCACTGGAGTGTGACCTTGGGCATGTCCGTGCCTTCCTTTCGGTCTCAGTGTGCTTATTCAGGAAGTACAAGGGTAGAAGGAATAGGGTCACAGCCAGGAGGCAGGGTGGATGATGTGTGTGTGTGTGTGTGTGTGTGTGTGTGTGTGTACCAGCTGTGTGTGCCCATGTCTATGTGCATTGCCTCCAGCAGGAGCACCCATTGTATTCTCCAAGGGAGCTGTGACTTCAAAAGGTTCAGAACCACAAACCAAGATCCTTTTTGGCTCTGAGGGTCTATGATTCTAAAAAGAGGAAAAGAGGAAGTTATCCAATCCACAGGGGTGAGAGTTGGTTTCAATCCCAGCACACATATCAGATCTGTAGGACACCATGGTGGGGGGGGGGGGATGTCCTCCTGTAGGGAAGACTGCAGACTCTGCCCCCTCCTGGGGGGGCCTGCTAAACTCAAGGGGGCACTAAGCTGGGAGATGGAGAAGCCAGACAAGCCGCCCCTAGGGCTGGCTTTGGGGAGGAAGGAGGCAGAATCCGCCTGCAGTATCTTTCCCTGTGCTCCCGCCACCATCAGACAAGCACTCACTTGTCTTGGGACGTGGCACAGAAAGAGGAGGCGAGGCTGGCACCTGGAGATGCCCGCCAGGCCCCTTGGCACCCAGGTCAGAGAAGATTTGGCGGGAATGCTCAGGAGGGATGCCAAGCCCTGCCCTCCTCCCTCCTCAGGATGGCATGTGGGGCTCCAAGTACAGGGAGTTGTGGGAGCCAGAGAAAGCCACCTGAGAGGGACAGAGCTTCCGACTCCTGGCTCCAGGTTAATTCAAAAGTGGGGCTGAGAGGCCTGGGAGGAAGACAGGAAGCCCTCCTCAAAGCGAAGAGGAGAAGACCAGAGAGGAGAGTAGGGGGTGAGCAACAGGGTCTGGGGGACAGAGGAACCTGGCAGGGAGAGAAAGACAGATAAGCCAAGCAGCAAGGCGGGCCAAGAGGACAACATGGCCCAGGGCAAAATACAGAACAGCAAGGAAGAGGAATGGAGTCAGCCATAGGAACCCAGCCCCGAGGCTCAAGGTAAGAAGGCTGGCCTGTGGGATGGCGGAAGCAGGAATGGCGGGCGCGTGTCTGTGGCAGGAGCATCGGTGGGAGGGCCCTGGCTGCCAGCCCAGATGCCTGGTAGCTTGTGAGCCCGGCTCTCAGGGTGAGAGCTCAAGAGATGTTTATCCACCACAAGAACGTGGGCAGCGTGCCTCCTCCAGAGAGGGCCCCGGTGATGGGCTGTTGTGTCGGGGCTGTGCATCCTGGAGAGTCACCTGTGAATGGAGGCCTGGGCAGAGGGGAGAAAGCTACCAACCCCCTCCCCGTCCCCCCCCCCCCCACGGCCTCCCCCTGGAGCCAGAGTCAGGACACATGGCAGGACCGGGCCTTATCCACGCAGATAAAACAGGGAGTGAGTCACCGCAGGCTTTCCCCAGAGGCCATTGGGAAAGCAGCTCATCCAAATGCAGACAGACATGCGTCCCCATCCCTGTCCCTGGCGCTGCCACACAGTGTCATCCACACCCCTCCCCCTCCTCATCCTTTCTCCTTGATTACCTAGCTCCAGCAGCACCCTCGGTCCCTCCCCTCCCCTCGGCTTCAACCTCCCTCGCAAAGCTCACATCAAGGGTGTATGTGTGGGTTTGTGCAGGGGGGGGAAGAATGGAGAATAAGAGGAATTAAGGAAATCCACCAACAGAGTCCTGACCCCACAGCCCGAGGTGTTAAAATAAAACTACTGAGCTAAGAAGACAGAGGGATGAGTCTGGGAAACAAGAAAGAAATGAGGATCCAGGAGTTCTACCAAACTGGGGGAGGGGTAAAGGGGGGCCTTAACAGAAGATGGGAAAACTCTGGGTGCCCAGGGCTCTGTGCACCAGCCTCAAAATACCAGATGAGCTCAAAATCTCGAACAAAAAGCACAAATCTGAAATAGAAAGATAAATAAGGAGGGAGATTATGACCTATGACCTCACACACGGGGTACCTCGGAGGACGGGGGTGAGTTCATGTGACGTATGAAGATGTGTAATGACTCTGGAGAGGATCTATAGGCTGAGAGTTCTGCCATGTCACCCCCATTTTCTACCAGGATCAAGAAGCAGTGGTTCGGGATGCCCATCCATATCCTCAGGCCTTCCTCCTCAGGCCTCTAGGACCCAAGCTAGCTCAGGCCTCCATCTAGATCCTACGAGGGAGGACATTGGCCACTTTGAGGGTATAGACAACCACCTTAAATCCCCCCTTCAAACCTGTCTAGTCCCTAGTAACTGGCTATAGCCTTGTAGGATGCAGTTTGGGTTACAAGAGTATAGCACTGTGCCTGGCACAAATACGCCACCATCTCTACTCTGGATAGACATCAAGTGGCACACACGACAGACGCATGTGTATACAGAAGACACACACTGACAAAATGTCTTCCCATGCTGTTCCTGAGGAGAGGCAAGAGTTGCTGCAGGGGACATTTGAGGTCCCCTCTCTCTGTGTGCTTCAAGTGAGAGACCCCATCTGAACCAAAACTCCAACTCAGCCAATGAGTCTTTCTGCCTGATCCTTGAGTAAAGCTAACCAGTCCCTGCTGACCCCAGATATCTCCTCCTGCTGCTCCTCTTCCTAGGAACTTCACCTATACTCAGTCTCGGGGTTCCAGAGCCTCTGTGGAGGCTCCTGACTCCTGGATTCCTGCCTCTGAATCCATTTTCCCATTTCAAGACTTGTCCAGAACAGAGAGTGCTTGGGGAGGAGGGGGGTTCCAGGTCCCACCATGCTCAGACTGGTTCTGTGGGCCTCTGCTAGCTCAGAAGCCTCCCTGCCTCCTGCCATAGAACCCCAGGTCTAAGACCCTGGACTGTCTGCTCAGGAAAAACCTCACCTAAGTTAGTTTTTCCTTCCCTCCCTCCTTCCCGCCCTCCCTTCCTCCCTTCTTTTTCCTCTCGATCTCTCAGTCTGGCCTGTATGTAGCCCAGGTTGGCCTCGAACTTGTGATCTTCCTACTTCAGCCTCCCCTGGCACTGCAATTACAGGCATGTGCCCAAGCCACGCAGCCATCAGACTTTCCAGGATCAAGTCCCACCTCCTCCCCAGCCACTTCCCTCCCCAAGGGCAGCAGGGACCCAGCTGAGAGCTCCGCAGAGGCAGCTGCCTCTCCACCTGGGCTCCGGCCCGGGCCTGCTCCCCCGCCGGCCTCCTCACCGGTCTCAGGTGGCCCGGGCTCTCTCCGCCAGCCCCCCCCCCCGCCCCCTCCGCCCGCGCTGACCACCGGCGCCCTCCCGCCCGCCCGCGCCCCGCCGCCCTACCTGCCGCAGCCGCCGCCTCCGGTGCGCGCCCGCCGACCCCGCGGGCTCCCAGCCCTCGGCCCGCCCGGGAGTCTGGGGGTCAGAGAGGGGTCCCGGCTCGGGCGCCCCGCAGCACGCCAGGCTCACGGAGCAGCCCATCCCGCCTGGCTCCCGGCGGGCCCGGGGTGTGAGAGCCAGGCGCCCGGGGAGCAGGCCCGCCCCCAGCCCCGGCCCCGGGCGGCCGCCACGTCGGGAGGGAGCGGCGACGCCCACCCCACCCCCGCACGCGCCCGCGCCCGCGCCGCCCGCCCCGCCGGCCAGCGGGGAAGTGCGGGCCGGGCGAGGGGCGGCGACATCGGCGCGGGATCGCACGCCCCCGGGGACGGGGCGCGGGGAGAGGCGGGGATGCGGGGGGGGGGGGCGTGGAGGCGCGCGGAGGGAGGGGCGGAGACGGCGGGAGAGGTCGCGGGCGGGACGCACGGGGGAGAGGGACAGACCGACGGACACGGGGCGGGGGGTCGGGGGCGGGGGGGACACAGGCAGGGACGGAGGCACTAGACGAGCGGACTCCTGCGTTCCACGCACAGTCCCCGAGGATCGTGTTTGCGGGTCCCCGACTCCAGATCAGCTCCCAGGCCGGCCCCGCCTCGACGAACGCAGACCCCAGCCTCAAGAAGGGGGGGCGGGTTCACAGCCAGGTGGGAAAACCGAGCCCCCTCCCGCCTGGGCAAGCCCACCTGGCCCTGTCTGGAACCCACCCAGCACTTCGCAAGTTTCACTTCCAGTGGGTACCTGGATGGGGAGGGGAGCGCAGGTGGCCAGCGCCAACGGGGACCCAGCTGCAGGCTGAGTTGGAGAGGGGAGGAGGGGGTACTTGCTGGGACACCCCCTCCCCCATCCTCCTCCCCACTCCCCAGCCTCCCCGGGACAAGTGACAGAGAAAAGCCACCGCAGGAGGAACCTGCGGGCAGCACCTAAGCCTCTCTGCGCCATCTGGTGGCAACAAGCGAAAAAGGCAGGAGCCAGGGTGGAGGGGAAAGGAACGTTGAATTGCCACAATGCTTTATCTCCCACCTCACCATTCAGGAGTTAGGCCACCCAGAGGCCCTAGCCAGATGTGGCTCCCAGAGAAGCCTCATCTCGCTCACCCTGCTGGACGCCCCGCCAGGGCTGGCTCCTCCCCTGCAGGGTGTAGGGAAGTGACTCAGGGCCGGACCACAGGCGCTGGGAAGTGGTGTGCTGGGGGGCCCGCAGTCACTAGGGAAGGACTCAGGCTGCAGAGCTCAGCTCTCCATGCAACTAGCCAGGCCTCCCCAGGTGAGCAGTGGGGGCGGCTTGTGGGCCTGGGAGGTGGGAAGAGGCAGAGTGTAGGGGGATCCCGGAGAGGGCTGAGGGAGAGTTTGAGGGACTCTTAGCTGTTCCTAGATGTGCCGAGGATCTGGGCCTGAAGGGGTGTAGAGAGAGTTGTCAGTGGAGGAATCTAAGACTCGAGAAAGGTGGTGACACACAGGGCTGAGTAGCTAGAGCAGGATGGGACCCAGGCTTCCAGACTCCCAGTCCTGTGCTCCCTGACCCCCACCCACCCTATTACCTTCCTTTCCTTTTTCCTTCCCCTGCACAGACTCACTGTGTTCCTCCCTGCTGCCCACCCCCAAATTCAGACAGGACCCATGTCCTTGACTTCAGACTCAGCCCACTGGCCCTCAGGGGTCTCAATGTCCCTTTCTGAGTTACCAGCACCCTCTGAGAGGAGAGCAGGCTGAGTACCCCCCCCTCCCCGGGAAAGGGTGACAGGATAAAAATCAGGCACCCTGTTCCCCATGCTTGCTAATCCTGCAGCCTCTCCGACCTTCTGCCTCCCTCTCCCAGGGGAACGCACATTTTCCACTCGGCTGGGGTCCTGGAAAGGATGAATGCAGGTCTCCGGGAAATGCCCAGGGGAAGCAGGATGACCTTCCCCTAGCCACCACGGCGATAGCATTCACAGAACCATTCACTTCTAGTGAGGCTGAGAACACAGGCCCTCTGGTCATACAGATCTGAGTTCAAATTCTGGCTTCCCCAACTTATAACTCTGTGCTGTTGCACAGCAGGCTTACCCTCCCTGGGCTCCAGTTCACCTAGAATTAAATGGAGTTAATAAGTTTTTAAAGCTACCACAAGGATGAATGAGAGAGAATGGCAACAAGGTGTCTGGTGCCTAGCACTCAGGAACTGCCTAGTATAAATGGAAGTCCAATAGAGGGAGGCCATACACCGACCTTCAAGAACAAGCTAGGCCAGTGGCCAGTGGCTCACACATGTAATCCTAGCTATTTAGGAGGCTGAGATTTGAGGATCAAGGTTTAAAGCCAACCCTGGCAGGAAAAGTCTATGCAACTCTATATCAAATTAACTGGCAAGATGCCAGATTGGAAGCATCACTCAAATGGTAGAGCACCACTTTCTGTGAACAAAAAAGCCAAGCAAGAATGTAAAGCCCTAGTTTCTGGAGAGAGGGAGAGGGAGAGAGAGAGAGAGAGAGAGAGAGAGAGAGAGAGAGAGAGAGCTGGTTTTCCATCTCATCTGTTAACTTGCTGTGTGATATCCGTCAGCCTAGCTTCCTCTGTAGGCTCTGATTCCTGTACAAAAGGGAGCTGGATATCTTCAGCTCACCTTCTGAGTTCCATGAAGCACATTGCTCAAAGTCCCCATGACAGAAGAGGGGACCAGGTTGAAGATCACCAGGGACCTAAAAGGTGAGCATGCCTGGTACGATTGTTCCAAATTACCTTACGGAAGTGAGGGATGTGGAGCGTACCTCCGGCATGGGCTGGCAGCCTGATACCTGCTGTCTAACCTTCCTCCCTACAGCGGCCGTCTCTGCCATCCTGCAGGGCTATGGGTCCGGGCAGGGGCCAGTGACAGATGCCAGTGCTGAACTGCACAGACTCTGCGGCTGCCTGGAGCTGCTACTGCAGGTGAGACCCTCTCCCACCTCCTCCCCTCCCCCTCTACTAGCCTCTCCCTCCCCCTGGCTACCCAGAAGGCTTTTCAGTTATAGGGAAGAATATTGCTACTCTTGGCACACAGTACACTGTCTCATCTCCTCCAGTCTGTCAGTCCTTCTTCATATCTGACCTCACTCCTAAAGGCTTGCACTGCAGCTGTGGAAGTGAAGGGGGGAGGGGCATACGCTGAGAACAGCGGCCCTGCATTGCAGCTCAGTGCCTGCAAGGCATAGACACCTGCAGATTGGCCTTCATGATACTGCACTATTTCATTTAATCTTCTTTTTTTTTTCTGTTGGTCATGGGCTTGAACTCAGGGCCTGGGTGCTGGTCCCTGAGCTTTTGCGTTCAAGGCTAGCACACTACCACTTTGGGCAACAAGCATCCCTTTTTGTTTTCTGATGGTTAATTGGAGATACGTGTCTCATGGACTTCCCTACCCAAGCTGGCTTTGAACCACTATCCTCAGATCTCAGCCTCCTGAGTAGCTAGGATTACAGGCGTGAGCCACCAGCGCCCAACATTTAATTCTTGTTCTTAACTCCCCTGAAGTTCTCCACAACTTCTCCATACACTCACGCACATACTTCCTATTTCATCTCTACTTCCTTTATACTGTCCTGATCTTCCTGGAGCACACCACGAATGCACCTACCTTAGGCCCTTTGCACTTGCTCCTCCTTTTGCCTGGGTTCTATTGCCCTCAGAAATTTGTATGGCACACGTTCTCCTTTCCTTCAGAGTTGGGAGTTTTGTCTAGCCGCTCTAGTCTACGTGTTCAACGTGTGGCAGACATACAACACACAAACGCACTTGCGTTCCTCTTTCTCCCTTTCTCCACAGTCTCATCCTCACTATCCCACCCCACAGTAGGCTTTTCTTATTTGTTTTGCTCATGGTCTCATTTATTTTGTTCCTGCCAAGACGTAAGCTCCATGAGGTAAGCCTCTTTGCCCATTGCTGTGTCCCTGAGAGCTGAGAATGAGGCCTCCATTGACACAAAGGCTCAGTAAGAGATTCTGAATCAGTGAGCATGCCTGCTAAGACTGAGAAGCACCTTGCTCCTGATCACAACAGTCCTGGAAGAACCCGGTCTGTGTGCAGTGCCCCACTCCTCTCCCATGGCCCACCCTGTGTGCCAGCATGCAAGGCAGATTCCAGAAGGAACTCCACTAATTTTTCCTTTCTTGCATCTTCTTCTGTTCCAGTTTGACCAGAAAGAGCAGAGGAGCCTCCTGGGACCTCGGAAGGACTACTGGGACTTCCTGTGCACCGCCCTGCAGCGGCAGCGAGGGGGCGCAGAGCTGACCCGCCTGGTCTGCTCACAGGACAAGGTACGCAAGCCTCAAGCACACCTGGCACCGGCCCGTGACAAGAATGGCTGGGGCCAGGGACACAGGCCAGCCACCCCCAAGGTCACTTTCTCGCCCACCCTGATCTACTGACCCCCCCACCTGATCCTCAGCTCCCAGGGGCCCCGCCCTCAGCTCTTCTCCGATCACATTCGGCGCTTCACTCCCCGGCCTGATTCCGCCCCTTCTCTTTGGTCCCCTGTGCACCCTGGCAGCTGAAGACTGCTCTGGGCAAAGGCCGAGCCTTCATCCGATGCTGCCTCGCCCGTGGACAGCTGGCCGAGTCCCTGCAGCTCTGCCTCCTGAGCCCAGAATTTTCCAGGTGTGGCTGCCAGGCTCAGCTCATGAGACGCCATCTGACCCTCCCTCTACGGTTGTTGGGGAAAGGACCCTCTCTCTCCCCTAGGATGACTGAACTTTAGGATGGATGGGGTGAGGGTTAGAAGGGAAACTAGGAAGAAAGGGCAGGGGGTTGGGGAGTGGCTTCGTTGGTAGAGCACTAGCCAATGAGTGAAAGTCCTGGAAGTATCCCGGGCCTCCTGCTCTCCACTGGGAAAGGCCCATGTGGTAACAGTAGAGGCTGATTCTTGGGGTGGGAAGGGGTGGGGGTGGGGAGTGGCATCAAATGCCAAAGATGCTGATCACTGCTACCACAGGGAATGGTACGGCCCCCGGAGCCCTCTCTTGTACCCTGAACTCAAAGAAGACATCTTGGACTCTCTCTACACCCTCAATGGGGTGGCCTTCGACTTGGACCTGCAGCGGCCAGACCTAGATGGAGCCTGGCCCATGTTCTCAGAGTAAGTGAGGGCAGCACTGGAAGCCTCCTGTGTACACCTGCTCCCTTTCCCACTCACATGCCAAGCCAGCCCCAAGGTTTCCAGCCCCCCGCCAGCCCTCCTTTCTTCTCCTCCTTTTCTCTCTTTCTCTCCTTCTTCCTGTGTGTGTGTGTGTGTATGTGTGTGTGTGTGTGTGTGTGTGTGTCGCACTGGGATTTGAACTTAGGGCCTCATCCTTGCCAGGCAGCTCCCAACCCTGTTTTGAGTTATTTACTTTTCACAGGTCTCTCACTTTTGCCCAAAGCTAGCCTCAGACCAATATCCTCCTATGTATGACCTCTTATGGAGCTGGGCTCACAGGCACACACCAGTACACCTTGCTGGCCTTGGGCCATGATCCTCTGGAGTAGTTGGGATTACAGGCATGGGCTACCACATGAAACTCTCCCTTCCTTCTAGCCCCCTGGATCTCCAGTGTCGCACTTCTTCAGCCTTCTATTTCTTCAGCATTAATCTAGATTTCCCACGATGCTGTATAGACTATATGGGTAGGCAGTTGGGGGTGCATGGGTGGAGCTGAACAGATAGTGAGATGCTAAGATGAAGTATGGGATGGATGGACGGATGGATAGATGGATGGATGGATGGATGGGCATGGAATGCATGCTGGTGCAGGAATGGGAAGACAGGAAGTGTGGTAGGATGAATGAGTGATGGGAAAGATTGATGTCCCTCTGAGGACCAAGCCCAGCCCATTGCTGGATAGAGATTCAGGGTCCCTCTGCCTCTTTTCCTTTCAGGTCCCGCTGCTCCAATTCCAGCCATACCCAGGGAAGAAGAGCCAGAAAGACTAAAGATTTTCCAAAAGAGGTAATTCTGTCCTGCCTCCACTCTGCATTGCCACTTGCCAATCTAGTTGGGAACCCCAAGTGTCCAGCAGTAACTGGGAAATCCCCCCTGTCCATGCCAAGCCCTACAGGAGAGAGGGAGACAGTGTGCTGGCCAAGGGACTGGGGGTATAAGAAAGAAGGGATTAGCTAGGTGCTCTTGGCTCACGCCTGTAATCCTAGCTACTCAGGAGGCTGAGATCTGAGGATCGTGGTTCAAAGCCAGCCAGGAAAGGAAAGCCCATGAGACTCATCTCCAACAAAACACTAGAAAACCAGAAGTGGTACTGTGGCTCAAGTGGTAGAGGGCTCACCTTGAGCTGAAGAGCTGAGGGACAGCGCCCAATCCCAGAGTTCAAGCCCCACAACCAACAACAACAACAACAAAAGAAGGGATTCACATTCCTAGGATGACTTGGGAGGAGAAGAGCACTGGGGCCGGAGAGGAGGGGTCTTGATGGTCACTTGTGTTCAAGAAACACTAGAGCGATAACCTCTGCTGAGGCCTCTGCATTGGTCAGACCCATTGGCCTAGTTCAGGGAATGACCAAAAAACACTAGATTGCCCAGTTCCTCCTAACACTGTTCTTAGGCAGAGTATTCGCTCCATGCCCTAGAGTAATTGTGACTGTGGATTAGTTGACCCACATGCTGCACAGAGAAAGGCTCCCACATGAAACCAGGTGGTCATCACCATTGTCCCTCAAGTGGCCACCCCAGGCATCAGATGGCTTGCTTACTAGGACCCTGAAGGCTACACAGAAGGCTACACCCATCTGTGGGTCTCACATCTGTGGATTCAACCCCACCATAGACCTGCACTGAACACATCCAGACTAGTTTTCTTTCTTTCTTTCTTTCTTTCTTTCTTTCACATGCGCATAGCAGCCACATGGTACTCGGTATTCTAAGCCATAGAGAGGTGATTGAAAGTATATGAACTTGGGCTGGGAAGGTGGCTCAGTGGTAGAGCGCTTGCCTTGCCTGCCTGAAGCCCTGGGTTCGATTCCTCAGCACCACATAAGCAAAAAGAAAAAAGCCAGAAGTGGTGCTGTCTCTCAAGTGGTAGAGTGCTAGCCTTGAGCTGAAGAGCTGAGGGATAGTGCCCAGGCCCAGAGTTCAGACCCCACTACCAGACCCAAAAAAAAAAAGTATATGAACTATGCAAATCATATAACATTTTATATGAGGAACTTGAGCATCTGTGGATTTTTGGTATCCATGAGGGTCCTGGCACACACACACACACACACACATACACACACAAACAAACACACACACACACACCAGATGCCACTGTAGTGACACAGGCATGGGCCAAGAAACATGGGCACACAGGTGAACTTCCTGAGAGAAATTCTCAGCTGGAGGTCAGTCTGCTTAAGATCCCACCACATTTTGACAAACCAGGTGGTACCCCCATTTGGCAGATGGGAATGCTGACATATGAGGTAAAGTTGAGGAGAAAGGATGAAAAGGGTATGAGGAGCTGGGTGTCATTGGCTCATGCCTGTAATCCTAGCTACTCAGAAGGCTGAGATCTGAGGATCACGGTTCAAAGCCAGCCTAGGCTGGAAAGCCAAGAGACTTTTATTTCCAACACCAGAAAACTGGAACTGGTGCTATATCAAGTGGTAGAGCACTCTCTTTGAGCCGAAGAGCTCGGGGACCGCACCCAGGCCAAGTTCAAGCCCCACAACCAATAATAGCAGCAACAATAAAGGTGGGAGGAACTAAGGGGGAGAGATCGATGCTCAGACCCAGTGAAAGAAGGAATGCAAGCTGGGGCAGGGAGGAAAAGCACAGAGACCCCATTCTATCTGCTCACCAGATCAAGGCGGGGGTCTCAGATCAGTTGGGGCATTACTAATATTATTTCTGGTATGACTGATAAATGTGATTTCCAATGGGAGGCCTGGGGGTCTGAATATGTAGTAAGCCTGTTGGTGCAGGGCCCTGGCCTCTTCTGGTCTCAGGTCCATGAGCTGGTGCTGACTGGACAATGTTGGGCTTCTTACAGATCACATCCGGGAGCCCCCGAGGAGACACCTGTCAGCGAGATGCACCCAGAGAAAACCTATCGCCTGCTCCTTCCAGGTCCCAGCAACACGAGCATTTTCCTTCCTTTTCGGAAAAGAAGAAAGAAGATTCCAGAAGCCTCAGTTCTTCCCAGAACACTGAGGGAAAGGAGCTTCCACTAGACCAGGAGGGAGACCCAGACCCTGGGAAATATCTGGAGAATTTGACAGCCAGTATCCAGCAACAGAGGAAAGGAGGCAAGGAGGCTCAGACAGTAACAAAGATGGAGGCTGAAGGCAAGGAGGTTCTGCTAGGTATAAAGGTTCCAAGAGCAACAGAGGAGGCTCACAGAGGAGAAGCAGAGAAGCATCCTGTCCAGGAGCTGCTGGCCTCCACACCCCAGGAAATGACAGAGGAAGCAGCATCAGAGAACAGGCAGGGGCAGGAGTCCTGTGCCCTTTGGGACCAGGGAACAGAGGGAGGTTCCACCCCAGAGAATCCAGAAGAACAAACAGGATGGACCAGTGTAGCCAGGAGGGAGGAGCACGCAGAGCTGTCTTTACAGGATGTGGTCAAGGTGAGAGACATTGAACTCCATACCTGACTATTCTCTTTCTAACCTCACCCACAGGTGGGTGTCTTCCATGAGAGCCCAGGGGCCATTCTAGTCCACACATCATCAATTTGCATTGGCTCAACCAGGATGGAAAACCGCAGGTCCCCATCTCTTTCCCTGCTGCCTCATCCCAGACCCACTTCATTCATCAGAACTTCCTGCCCCACTGGTCTTCTGGGCCATCACTAGTTTCAAGCTCTGTATCCCTCCTCCTGGCAGGTCTTATTCCAGTATCTAAGTGCTGCTGCTGCTGCAGATGCCACCTAGTCACTCAAAGATAGATGCTTGTCCTGGAGGCCACCCGGACCCTTACAAAGCCTGCCTTCACACTGCTCCCTAGCTGGGGTCTTCCAAGTCCTGGAGTTTGTAACCCGTCCTTCAGGGAGGAGGAAATCATAGCCCCAGGCTCATCCAGTTCCCAGTACCATCCAACCCAGGGGATGATTATCCAGTGGGTTCCAGGGCTGGGGTCTCTACCTCCTTTCTTCAGTATCCTCTTCCCCACTTCCTCCACCAGAGCCTCAGACAGAAGCTCCAGCAGGCTGAGGAGCGGGCCCAGGGCCAGGAGCAGCTTCTGCGAGTATGGGAGGGTGAGAGACAGGCACTCCAGGAACAGCTCAGCAGGTAACCTTGACAACATCAGCTGGGCCCAGGCTGTCCCTCAAGCCAAGCCGGGTCTTTTCAGCACCTGGGATGCTGAGGTCAGTGGATGCTGAGGTTAATGGCATACAGAGCATTGTTCCTGGTCACAAGAGGCTCCTCCTCCTCTCCCTCCTTTATAGCCCTCGGAGAGCTCCCTGCCCCCCTCTCTCCCCACCTTGCTCACCCTTGCCTCCTCCTGCAGCCTCTCATGGCTACTCTGTCTTTTCAGTCTTTTCTGCCGCTTCTCCACCATATCCCCCATCCCTATCTGTCTCCCTCTTTCATTCCCGTTTCCTGTTCTCTGTTACACAAGCTGTCCCTCACCCTCCTGACAATCATAATTGTAGCTGCCATTTTTGTTTTGCACTGGTACTGGGACTTGAACTCAGGGCTGAAGCGCTGTCCCTAGCAGTTTTTGCTCTACCTTTTGAGCCACAGCTTACTTCTGGTTTTCTGGTGGTGAATTGGAGATGAGTCTCATGGACGTTCCTGCCCAGGGTTGGCTTCGAACTATGATCCTTGGATCTCAGGCTCCTGAGTAATTAGAATTAATGGCATGAAACACTGATGTCTAGCCTAAGTTCTCTTTTAACTGAAAAAGGATGTTTATATATCCTTTCAGTTCAATGGTTTTTAGTCTATTCACAGAGCTGTGTAAACATCACCACAATCAATTTTAAAGCATTTTATCAGCCCCTGAAAGAAAGCCTGCACACATTAGCAGTCACTCCCCAGTCTGCTTTGCCTGTTCAAGCTCGCATGTCTGAAAAGCACCATGGAGCTGGATTGTCGGCTACAGGGCTGGACACAGGCAGGCCAGCAATGCTGCAGCCGGGGCAGAAGAGACCAACAAAGGTGTTTGATTTGTTCTGCTGGCAATAGAGGGGGAGCAGTGGCTGCTTTCTGGTTGTGTTTTGAAGCAGAGCTCCCTAAGGGATTGGATATGAGTCTAAGAGAAAAAGAAACATTAAGAATGACTGAGGGTGCTGGGAAGGTGGCTCAGTGGTAGAGCGCTTGCCTTGCATGCATGAGGCCCTGGGTTCGATTCCTCAGCACCACATAAGCAGAAAAAGCCAGAAGTGGTGCTGTGGCTCAAGTGGTAGAGTGCTAGCTTTTAGCTGAAGAGCTGAGGAACAGTGCCCAGGTCCAGAGTTCAGCCCCCACGACTGGGAAAAAAAAAAGAAAAAAAAGAATGACTGAGCCAGGCACCAATGGCTCATGCCTGTAACCCTAGCTACTAAAGAGGCCGAGATATAAGGATCACGGTTTAAAGCCAGGCTTGGCAGAAAAGCCTATGAGGCGTTTATCTCCAATTAACCACCAAAAAAAGCTAGAAGTGAAGCTGTGACTCACATGACAGGATGCCAGACTTGAATGAAAAAGATAAAGGACAGCACCTAGACCCTGAGTTCAAGGCCCAGTACTATCCTCCTCCACACATACACCAATGGCTTTGAGTCAGGTATTAGTGGCTCATGCCTGTAATCCTAGCTACTCAAGAGGCTGAGCTGGGAAGGTAGCTCAGTGGTAGAGCGCTTGCCTTGCATGCCTGAGGCCCTGGGTTCAATTCCTCAGCACCACATAAGCAAAAAGAAAAAATCCAGAAGCGGCTCTGTGGCTCAAGTGGTAGAGCGCTAGCCTTGAGCTGAAGAGCTGAGGGACAGCGACCAGGCCCAGAGTTCAGGCCCACGACTGGACCCCCCCCCCCAAAAAAAAAGAGGCTGAGATCTAAGGATCTCAGTTCGAAGCCAACCTAGGCAGACAAATCTGAGACTCTTACTTTCAACTCATCAGGAAAAAAAATGGAAGTGGAGCTGTGGCTCAAGTTGTAGAACATCAGCTTGAGTGAAAAAGCTAAGGAGCAAGGGGCTGGGAAGTTGGCTCAGTGGTAGAGCGTTTGCCTTGCATGCCTGAGGCCCTGGGTTCAATTCCTCAGCACCACATAAGTAAAAAGAAAAAAGCCGCAAGTGGCACTGTGGTTCAAGAGGTAGAGCACTAGCCTTGAGCTGAAGAGCTGAGGGACAGCGCCCAGGCCCAGAGTTCAGGCCCCACGACCGGACCAAAAAAAAAAAAAAAAAGCTAAGGAACAAAGCCCTGGTCCTGAATCCATGCCTCAGTACTGGCATTTAGAAAAACATCAACTGAGGGTTTTGTTTTGTTTTGTCTTTTTGAGTCAATCACCTGGAAAGCCAGAGGTACCATTCGCCAAGGTGGTCAAGGACATGGGCAGGCTTGTGGGGAAAGCTCAGGAGCTTAGATTTGAACTTGTATTCTGAACTTGCTTACACATCCAAGGATGGCCTCTGGGCAGGATGTTGGCTATGGCGTTCTGGAGGGCCTGCAGGAGGACAATCAGAAAGTTAGCCATGTGCCACAGCTCCTGAGCCTGGGAGAGACAGCGCTGCCCTGGCCCTGGGGCCTAGAACCAAGGGCAGAGCCCACTGCTGAATAAAGGGATCATGGGCATCACCACCAGCCAGGAGAAGGGCCCGAGGCTATCCGTTGTTCCATCTGTATTCATTGACGCTGGCTTTGGGCAGGCAGAGTCCGTACTGCAGTGAAGGGAGCCTGCAAAGTTGATCCTAAAGGACCCGAGAAGACTGACCAGAAGCAACAGACATGCAGAGTCCAGCACTAAGAGATGCAGAAAAGAACATGAAACCGGCAAGGCAGGGGGCGGGGGAGAAGAAGAAGGGACAGGGGATCCAGAGAAAGATCAGCCTCATTCAGAGGTGAGAACCAGGAAGCCATCTCCTAGGAGGTGACATGGGAGTACAAGCCTCAGCTGTGACCAGGCCCGTGTCTAGGGAGGGGCGCTGCAGGCAGGGAGCCAATGACCCAAAGACCAAAGATGCAAAGTTATGCACTGAGCCCCAGCTCGGGAGTGGGAGTGGGTGGGGAGGAGGGCAATTGGTATCCAGGGAGCTAAAAGACTAGACTGAAACCCTGGATCCAAATCCAGATATGGAAGCCTGGAGCAGGGTTTGGAGTGGGGGTAGCTCTTGGATTAATATGGGCATATATGTATGTAGTACTGGGGTTTGAACTCAGGGCCTGGGCACTTGCTAAGAGGCAGGAGGTAGGCAGGCACTCTACCACTTGAGCCATGCCACCAGCCCCCTCCCCCTTTCTTCTCCGCCTCCTTTATCTTCTTCTGCCTTCTCTTCTTTTTCTTCTTTTCTCCTTCTCTTATTCTTTCTTCCTCCCTTTCCTCCTCCTCCTCTTCTTTCTTCTTCTTCTTCTTCTTCTTCTTCTTCTACTTCTTCTCCTCCTCCTCCTCCTCCTTCTCCTTCTTCCTCTTCCTCTTCTTCTTCTTCTTCCTCCTCCTCCTCCTTTTTCTCTTTCTCCTTCTCCCTCTTCCTCTCCCTCTTCCTCTTCCTCTTCTTTTTCTCCTCCTCTCCCCTCCTCCTCCTATTCACGTTGATTTATCCCCAGATTGGCCTCAACTGTGAGCATCCCCTTGTGGCTGGGATGTCGTGCATAAAGTGAGGTGAATAAGGAGATCACAGGATCATACAGCGCCCATCTATTGGTCAGGATGGAGTCTCCTGAATGTTTATGTCAGGACTGGCCTTGAACTGCAAGTCCCCCGGTTTCTACCTCCGAAGTAGCTCAAATTATAGGCTTGAGTCACTATGCTAGGCCTGACATCAGTTTTGAGAAAGATAAACTAAGAATGGGCAGAAGCCTCCATGTGCAGCCCAGGCTAGAGGCAGAGGCCAGCTGACCCTGCAGACGGCAGGCCCCAGGGCAGAGCAGCATGGGGCTATTGGGAAAATGGACTTGGTTGGTTTTGTTTTTAATTTCTTGAGACAGGGTCATGCTGTATGGCCCAGACTGATCTTGAACTTAACAATCCTCTTGCCTCAGCTTCTCCATGCTGAGATTACAGGTGTACCTGGGTATACTGGCCTCTGAAAATGGAATGGGAATTGAGCTAGAAGTCTGATACACCATGACTTCCTGGCTAAGGGCCACAGGACAGCACCTCCTTTCCCTGGGCTGAACGCCTCGATTTCTGAAAGGGGACAGTAAGAATCTCTCAGGTTTCTCCTTACAGCTCGGGGCTCTGTGGGGCCATCTTCCCAAGATGGTGGGTTTCCTCTGCCCTCTCCATGAGACTCTGAAGCCAAGGAGGAGCTCAGAAGGCAGCAGGACCTGGTCCAGGCCCTGAAGTAAACAAAGAGATCCTCTGGAGTGGGGATTGAGCTGACACACTGACTCCCGCAGTCTGTGATGGTTCCTGGTGACCAGCCGAGGCTCTCAGGCGCTGCCCCTCTCTCTAGCCTGCTGGGCCCCAGGGCTATGCATAGAGGAACACATGGAGAGACTAGACAAGTTTATAGCTACACAGACCCACGTCCATATTTCTGCTCCCTCCACTTGTCAAGTTATGTGACTCCATGAGTGGCACACGCTCCCTGAGGATTCAGTTTCTTTCTGTCTTATAAATTTACTTTCAGGGGCTGGGAAGGTGGCTCAGTGGTAGAGCGCTTGCCTTGCATGCCTGAGGCCCTGGGTTCGATTCCTCAGCACCACATAAGCAAAAAGAAAAAAGCCAGAAGTGGCACTATGGCTCAAGTGGTAGAGCGCTAGCCTTGAGCTGAAGAGCTGAGGGACAACGCCCAGGCCGAGTTCAGGCCCCACGACCGGACCCAAAAAAAAACATTTTTTTTACATTCAAACTACATATCTCATAGCAGTGTGAAAATTAAATGAAACAAAGCTATAGGAGCCACACTTAGCACCTGGCATGTAGTAGGCATTTAAGAAACTTCTGTTCCTTCTGTGTCTGCTCCTTGCTAGTACAAGGCCTTGAGTTTAAACCCTAATACAGAAAAAAAAAAAAAAAAGAAAGAAAAGAAAAGAAAAAAGAAAAAGAATGGAATGGAAAAGTTAAAGGAAAGAAAGAAGAAATACTGGCAAGCGCCCTCTACAGGAGCACTCAAAGTCAGGCCCTGATTTCATTTCTCTAACTGATGGCTCAGGAGCCTTAAATGCCAGACACACAGTGTTCTGCCTGTACATGCATGCTGTGTGATGCATGTAGCGTGTGTTGTGTGTGGTGGGGGTATGCGTGGTGTATATGGAGTGTGTATGGATGGTGTATGTGTGTAATGCCAAGGGTGTGTGATATGTGTGCCATGCATGTATGTAGTGTAGGCTGTGTGTTATATGTATGGCATGTAGGGCACATGTGTGTGGTTCGTGTGTTTGTTTGTTTAACTACAGGGCACTACAGGCTCCTCCCAGCTCCCTGTGGGACAGAGGCTCTTGCCTAGCTGGGTCCTACCTGCTAAATTCTTTCCCTGGGAACCGTCTCCCTCTGTGCCCAGGTGTCAGGGAGAGAACGCGCAGCTGCAGGTGGAGCTGGAACAGAAGCAACGGGAGGCTGAGAGGAGGGACGCCATGTATGAAGAGGAGCTCAGAGGGCAGCGGGACCTGGTCCAGACCATGAAGAAGAGAGTTCTGGAATTGATTCAGTAAGGATGGGGACAGTGGGACCTCAGAGACGAGGAGGAGGTAGTAAGGGAGATGAAAATCCTACCTCACTCACAATTCCCACTGAAATCTTCTAGATCTTTCATCTATTCTAACTCATTTCCTTCTTGCAGCCACCCCTTGCTGTTACCCCCATTTTATAGATAAGAGAACAGAGGGGCAGAGGGATGACTTGGTCACAGAGGACACCCACCATATAAACTGCAGAATCCTCTGACAATGGCATGAGCCCCAACCCGTCTCTCCTCCACTCACACCTCTCATGGGGTTAGGAGGGATGGGAACTCCCAGCAGAGGACTTGAGAGGAAGAGAGGGAAAACATGGGAAAACCCACCTGTCCACTGGGCTTCCTTAGGCCCTGAGCCTGTGGGCCTGCCCTGGACCACCTGCCCTCAGTGTCAGAGTCTGGACTTAGGCTCAGTTCCAGTCACTAAATAATGTAAGGAAGGACCTTCTTCAAGTTATTAATATCCATTGGTGAGACGGAAGGAGATATAAAAAGTTAACTACCAGCCAGGCGCTGGTGGCTCATTCCTGTAATCCTAGCTACTCAGGAGGCTGAGCCAACCTGGGAAGATTTTTACCTCCAGTTAACTATCAAAAAAGCCAGAAGTGGAGCTGTGGCTCACGTGGTAGAGTGCTAGTCTTGAGCACAAAAACTTAGCACTTAGGCCCTGAGTTCAAGCCCTAGGACCAGCACCAAAAAAAAAAAAAAAGTTAACTACCTCACAAAAGAATTTAAACTAACAATAAAAGACATACCTGTGTGATTGTTAAGGAAAAACAGAAGATTAAATAGAAAGTATAGCAAAAAAAATTCTATACCCTCAAAGATTAAGGTGAAAGTTAGCCTTGGTAGCAAGGTCAGAGTTGTCTAAGTCTTATTTCCCATTCAAAGAAAATGTACTAGCTCATCTGGAGAGCTAACTGTTCTTCCTATACTAAAGAAAAGGCCCTCATGGGCTGGGAATGTGGCTTAGTGGTAGAGTGCGTGCCTAGCATGCATGAAGCCCTGGGTTCGATTCCTCAGTACCACATACACAGAAAAAGCTGGAAGTGGCACTGTAGCTCAAGTGGTAGAGTACTAGCCTTGAGCAAAAGAAGCTCAGGGACAGTGTCAGGCCCTGAGTTCAAGCCCCAGGACTGGCAAAGAAGGAAGGAAAGGAGGGAGGGAGGGAGGGAGGGAGGGAGGAAGGAAAGGTCCTCAGGTAGGAACCCCAGGCTATCAATACAATGTCCCTAGCAGAAGCTTTATGGAAGATAATGACCCTAAGTGGGGGGGAAATTTTTGTACAAATAAGGCACAGACATGGGCACTGACTCAAGTCAAGACAGTAGACTGACTACACACCATCTATTCTTCATTCTGAGCTCTCACTAAATGACTGTAAAACAGTAAAATTTACAGCAGATTTTAAAAACAAGGTCTAGGAGTTCCCCCATAGATGAAAGCTTTCAGCGCTTTTCCCAGAGCTAGAAAATGGATGGATTGAAGTAGAGGTGTAGCCTAAGTGGCCAGCCTTGAGCGAAAAAGCCAAGTAAGAGCATAAGGCCCTGGATAGATAAGGGGATACCATATGAAGCCCAGGTTAGGCCTCCACGACCCAGAGATCCCAGGACACAATGGGGAAGGAGATCAGAAATAAAGGAATTAGCAAGGGGACTCTACATCCCTGCCTCTCGGCCTGCAGAATATCCCACCAGGCCCTGTCTCTCAGGCAAATTAAGAAAGTTTAGAAGTCCTAAGAAAAAAGCTAATTTTCCCTGGCACCAGGGGATCTGGTATGCCAGGTTGCTCCTTGCCTTGTACACTCAAAAGCAAAGCACATAAGGCCACATAAGGTCCTTAAAATCATTTAGTAAATGATAGGATAGACAAGTAGTCTTTTCATGGGCTACCCATGGGCCATCTGCCTGGATTGATAATTTTGTATGGCCTGCAAATAATGTTAAAAATTTCCAAATGGCTTCTGCCCACCCCCCTCAAAAGGAAAAGATTCTCCATCCCTGTTCTAAAGGAAACCCACTTGTCAACCATCCCTGTCCACTGCTCAGAGCTCCCCGCAGCTACACCTGCCTCTTACACATGAAATGGCAACCGAGGATCCCAGATATTTGGGAAGAGTCTAGAACATAAAGGGGAGAGATGGGGAGAAACAAAGCCAACAATAACAAATACATCTCTCATAAACCAAGGTGCTGTGAAATCAACTGTAAAAAGATGAGAAACCATTCTGAATGTTTTAAAACTACACATGATTGCTAGCCAGATGGGGTAGCACACATTTGTAATCCTAGCCCTTGGGAGGCAGAGACAGCAGGACCTTGAGTTCAAGGCCAGCAAAGGCTGCTTAGTGAGACATAGTCTCAGAAGAAATATATGATTGCTGGGTTAGTATGTCGGGGGAGGGGTGCTGGTGAAAGGATTTGAATTCAGAACCTTATGCTCTTGCTTAGCTTTTTCACTCAAGCCTGAGGCTCTACCACTTGAGCTTTTAGTGGTTAATCAGAGATAGGAATCTCATGGATTTATCTGCAGGAGCTGGCTTTGAACCTGGATCCTCAGATCACAGCCTCCTGAAGAGTTAAGATTGCAGGTGTAAACCATGAGTGCCTGGCAGATTACTGAATTATTTTTAATTCACTGAAAAGATTGGAAGAGACAGTGAAACAGTCTCTCAGAAAGGAGACTAAAATGCACAGAGAGATGGAACTCATGAGAGAGAGAGAAAGAGAGGGAGAGAGAGAGAGAGGCATAACAGCAGACATTCCCTCAAAAAGGAGAGAATAAAATCAAGGAGATTATCAAAAATAGGACAGAATTACCAGATGGAAATAGATGGGCATAGATTCTCAGACTTAAAAGATTCTACTAAATGAGCCAGGCATTGATGGCTCACCCCTGTAATCATAGCTAGTCAGAAGAATTAAGGTTCAAAACTAGCCTGGGCAGAAAAGTCCATTAGACTCTTATCTCCAATTAACTAGAAAAAAAGAAAAAAAAAGCTGGAAGCAGAGCTGTCGCTCAACTACTAGACTGCGGTCTTTCAGCAGAGAAAGCAAAGTGAGAATAAGAGATCCTGAGTTCAAGCCCAGTACTGGTACAAAAATAAAAAATTAAAAAGAAACAATATAATGAATGAAAAACAAAAACTTGGATATAGCATTGTAAAATTTCAGTAAAACCAAGACAAAGAGAATACTTTCAAATGATCCAGAGGCAAACACAAATAACCTATAAAAGAACTGAATACATGTCAAGAGTCCATGATGTAACTTTGTATTTTCAAGTTCTGAAAAAGATTGACCTTTTTTTTTTACTTTTTGTCAGTTGTGGGGCCTGAACTCTGTTCCTGGGTGCTGTCCCTCAGCTTTTCAGCTCAAGTTAGCGCTCTACCATTTGAGCCACAGCACCACTTTCAGCTTTTTCTGCTTATGTGGTGCTGAGAATTCAAACCCAGGGCCTCATGTATGCAAGGCAAGCACTCTACCACTGAGCCACCTTCCCAGCCCCACCAGAAAGATTGACTTTTGCCCCCAGAATTCTGTGTCCATTCGAGCTATGAAGTAAGGGAGATGATGGAGGAGAAAGACACTTATCAGACAGACAAGTCTCCTAAAACTTACCTCCCACACTGTCTTTTTCAAGAAGTTAGTTGAGGATGTGCTCCAGAGAAACAAGGAAGTAAACCAAGAAAGGAGAAGATGTGGAATCGAGGAAACAATAGTTCTTCCTAGGAGAGGAAAAGAGGGAATTCCCAAGTTGTCATGTGGGCAGCAAGCCCAGGGAGTGGTCAGTCCAGATTGTAACAGAGGTATCTGGGGCCTAAAAAGGAGGTAGCTGGGGAGAAGGAAAATCAAGAGAATACCCATTAGGATGAGGAATTTGGAGGAAATTAATATGTTAAAGGCAGTTAATTTGAAGAATAAAACTAAGGACCTCCAGGAAAACAAAGCTTTTCAAGAAGAGATCTATTATGAAACACAACAATCTTCTTTGGGAAGATTCTTCCTTCCTCTCAGTGGATTTATAGCCCCATTTTCAGTTCCTCTATTGGTTGCCACTGTCATTTTACAGAATCTACTCATGTATTTCATATTCTATTAATTATGGGCAATAATCTATGACGGTCATTCTGTAATGTAATGTTGCCAGCATCCTTTCCTTTGAGCTCTACTTTTCCTCACCTTCAATTCCTGAAGCATCCAATATAGCACACACACACACACTTCCACTGGTTTTCTTTTCTTTATGCCAATCCTGGGCTTGAACTCAGGGCCTGGGTGCAGTGCCTGAGCTTCTTTTGCTCAAGGCTAGATGTTAGAAGTCTCAACCCGATAAAGTACACCACACATGTCTGAGAAGGGAGGAAAAATTTAATGCCAGGGAAATTGACAGGCTGACTCCATCAAGTCATAGAGCAGCAGATGCTGTTAAGATGGGGAGGATAGTTATAGGGGAGCAGACTTGCAAGAATGTGGGAGTGGAAAACTATGTGGTGAGGACAGAAGGCAAGTTTTGGGAGAAGGAGGCAGTGTTAACAGTAGTGGCCAGGCCAGGCCCGGTCAGGGTCAGGGTGACCCTGAGATACAGGCAGCGAGGCAGAACTTGGGCTGTCGGAATGTCAACCCACACAGGATGACTTCATCCCAGCCAACACTAGCACTCTACCACTTGAGCCACAGTGCCATTTCCGACTTTTTCTGTTTATATGGTACTAAGGAATTGAACCAAGGGCTTCATGCATGCTAGGCAAGCACTCTACCACTAAGCCACATTCTCAGCACTCCACTGGTTTTATTCTTTGTGGTGGTGGATATTGAACCCAGGACCTGGTACTTGTTAAGTAAGAGCTGTACCACTAAGTTACACCACAGCCACTTGTTTTTGTCAGTGTTAAGATCGACCTAAAGACAAAGCATAGAGGATAATTAGAATTGGAGACACAAAACATAAATATTACTACCTTAACAATACCAACTATGGAAGAGTTCAGTGGTCATGGAAATGATCAGTATTTATGCTGTATAATGTACCAGCTACTCATCACATGTTGAGATTGAGCACTTCAAATATGGAGCTGAAAAAGAAGCTCAGGACAGTGTCTAGGCCCTGAGTTCAAGCCCCAGGACTAGCAAAAAGAAAAAGAAAAGGAATATGGAGCTGAGCAGGACACTGGTAGCTCATGCCTGTAATACTAACTACTCAGGAAGCTGAGGGTTCAAGCCAGCCTTGGCATATAAATCCAAGAGATGCTGGTGGCTCATACCTGCAATCATAGCTACTCAGGAGGCTAAGATCTGAGGATTGTGGTTTGAAGCCAGCCTGGGCAGGAAAGTCCATGAGCTTTTTATTTCCAATTAACCAAGAAGCCAAAAGTAGAGCTGTGGTTCAAGTAGTAGAACACCAGTCTTAACAGAAATAGTTAAGTAACAGTTCCTAGACCTGAGTTCGAGCCCCAATACACACATACACTCACACACACACACACACACACACACACACCACACACCACACACACACACCACACACACACACTCACAAATCCAAGAAACTCCTTTCCAGTTAAACAACAAAAAGCTGGAAGTGTGACCTAAGTGATAAAGCACCATCCCTGAGCAAAAAAAAAGCGATGAAAAAAATGTAAGGCCCTGAGTTCAAGCCTCAATACTGGCAAAGAAAAGGGGGGGGGGGGAATGAAGGAAGGGAGAGAAGGAAGGAAGGGAGAGAAGGAAGGGAGAGAAGGAAGGAAGGGAGGGAAGGAAGGAAGGAAGGAAAGAAGATATGGACTCAGTACAACTGAGGGATTTTGTTTGTAATAGCTTAAACACATGGCTAGTAGCAATCGTATTGTATGCTTGAAGAATGGATAACAAAGCCAGGTACCAGTGGCTCACATCTGTAGTCCTAGCTACTAAGGAAGCTGAAATCTGAGGATCTCGGTTCAAAGCCAGCCTGGGCAGGAAAGTCCATGAAATTTTCATCTCCAAAAAAACCACCAGAAAACCAGAAGTGGCGCTGTGGCTTAAGTGGTAGCTAGCCTTGAGCTGAAGAGCTGAGAGACAGCGCTCAGGCCCAGGGTTTAAGCCCCAAGACCAACAGGAAAAAAAAATGGATGACAAGGAAGAGAGGTAAGGAGCTGAAGGGAAATACAGAACAAGAGTCATTAAGATTATTGCCCATAAGTGAATAAAACAAGAAATATATGAGTTTATCCTGTTATTATGACTGTAACCAATAGGGGAACAAAAATAGGGATATAACTACCTTAGACAGAAAGAAGAGAAGCTTATGAATATTTATTTTATTGTTAATTGTATTTATGTTTATTGTTAATAAATAAGCTAAATGTTCTGCTGCCAAGGGAAGAAGCTCCACAGAAATAATTCTCTACTGAAGGAAGGATATGAGTGTGTGTACTTACATATGGAAATAATGTCAAGGGGGAAAAATCCCAGTAAAAAATGGTTTACCACTAAAAACAGGAAGATAAAAGAGAGGGTCTCAGGCAGGCACCAGCGGCTCACGCCTGTAATCCTAGCTACTCAGGAGGCTGAGATCTGAGGATCACAGTTCAAAGCCAGCCCAGCAGGAAAGTCCATGAAACTCTTATCTCCAGTAAACCACCAGAAAACCAGAAGTGGCGCTGTAGCTCAAGTGGTAGAGCACTAGCCTTGAGCTCTAGAGCTGAAGGACAGTGCTCAGGCCCAGAGTTCAAGCCCCCACAACCGACCAAAAAAGAGAGAGAGAGAGAGGGTGTCTCTGCTCAAAGCCCTGCACTATTTGATTTTTAAATCTTGCATATTTGTTATTTTGACAAAAATTTAAAACAACTCATATTTCTAAATATCCTTAGAAAAACAGGAGAAAATACTTTTTTTTTTGGGTCCGGTCGTGGGGCCTGAAATCTGGTCCTGGGCGCTGTCCCTCAGCTCTTCAGCTCAAGGCTAGTGCTCTACCACTTGAGCCACAGCGCCACTTCCGGCTTTTTTTTTTTCTTTTTGCTTATGTGGTGCTGAGGAATCTAACCCAGGGCCTCATGCGTGCAAGGCAAGCGCTCTACCACTGAGCCACCTTCCCAGCCCCGAGAAAATACTTTTTTAAGGGCACAGACAAACAAATAAAAGATAATAGCCTAATCAGAAGTTGGTAGCTCACACCTGTAATCCTGGCAATCAAGAGGCTGAGTTCTGAAGGCTCAAAGCCAGCCCAGGCAGAAAAGTCCATGAGAATCTTTTCTTTGATTCACTGGCAAAAAGCTGGAAGAGAAGGTGTGTCTCCAGTGGTATAGCATCAGCCTTGAGTGAAAAAGCCAAGCAAGGGGCTGGGAAGGTAGCTCAGTGGTAGAGCGCTTGCCTTGCATGCCTGAGGCCCTGGGTTCGATTCCTCAGCACCACATAAGCAAAAAGAAAAAAGCCGGAAGTGGTGCTGTGGCTCAAGTGGTAGAGCATTAGCCCTGAGCTGAAGAGCTGAGGGACAGCGCCCAGGTCCAGAATTCAGGCTCCACGACCGGACCCAAAAAAAAAAAAAAAAAAAGCCAAGCAAGACAGCATAGGCCCTGAGTTTAAGTCCCAGTATCAGCAAACAATAAAAAACAAGCCTTACACATTCTAAGGCACCTGAAAAAGAACCAGGGAATTACCTTTTATGACCTTGGGGAAGGTGAAGCTCTGTTGACTGGGGGAGGCTGGTTGGGAATCACCATAAAGTACTAACTGATCTTTCATGTGTGTCCTTCTCCATGTCTGTGCCTGTGTCTTCCTGCCCTTCTGTCCTTGTTTCCGTCACGTATTTGTCTCTGAATGTCTCTGTGTGTCTCCCTCCTTTACCCTCTTTCCACCCATTTCTATCCCTCGTTTGGATCCCCTCCCTCTCCCCCTTTGCTTCCCCCATCCATCAGCGAGAAGGACCAGCAGTGGCAGAGGCTCCAGCAGCCCTCCATGGCTGCCTTGGGCCCAGGGTGCTGCGTGGGCTGCAGCAAGGTCTTCGGCCGTCTGTCTCGGCGCTATCCATGCAGGTAATGGGAAGGCACAGACTTGCACCTCTGGCATGACTCTTACTCCCTGCCTGTCCCAGGGAAGGAAGGAAAGAGAGACCTGGGCACTTAAAGCAGGCCACTGAAACCTGGCCACTTATCTCACTCCATCCGCCTTCCAAAACTAAGGAGAGTTATGAAGAACAGTGGGAAGGGCCAGAGGAGGGCATCCTGCAAGGTGGGATGTATAACCTGCTGGGCTCACCAGGAAGAGGGATACTACACAGAGGGACACCTTCCCAGGACTTCACAGGAACAGGACATACAGGAGATGTGGGGAGATTAAGCCAATAGGAGGCCTTGCCATGTGGAGTTAGAAGTTCTAGGGGGCTGGCTGTCAAGATACCCGTTTGGGTTTTTTTGTTTTTGTTTCTGTTGTTTTGTTGGGTGTGGGGCCTGAACTCTGGGCCTGAGCACTGTCCCTCAGCTCTTCAGCTCAAGGCTAGCACTCTACCACTTGAGCCACAGCACTACTTCCAGTTTTTTCTGTTTATGTGATGCTGAGGAATCAAACCCAGGGCCTCATGCATCCAAGGAAAGCACTCTACCACTGAGCCACTTTCCCAGCCCCTCAAGATACCCTTTTGATGCCAGGCACTGGTGGCTCACACCTGTAATCCTAGCAACTCAGGAAGCTGAGATCTGAGGGTCACAATTCAAATACAGCCTGGTCAGGAAGGTCTGTGAGACTCTTATCTTCAATTAACTGCCAAAAGAAACACACACACACAAAAAAAAAAACAGAAGTAGAGCTTTGGCCCAAGTGGTAGAGCCTTGAACACAAAAGCTCAGGGACAGCACCCAGGCCCTGAGTTCAAATCCTAGGACTGGCACATACACATACAAAAAAAAAAGACACCCTTTAGGAAAGTTTCTGTGACAGACCAAAGGAGATGAGAAGTCAAAGATGAGTCAAAGATGCTAGAACTCTTGACCCCCAGTGTATACTCAGGAGCTATACCAGCCACAGGGCTCACCCCACACTCCCTTCTGTCTGTCTCCAGGCTCTGCGGGGGTCTGGTGTGCCATGCCTGCTCAGCAGATTACAAGAAAAGAGAGCGATGTTGCCCAGTCTGTGCCCAGGGAAGAGCCCAAGTTACCTGAGCAAGTCCACAAGACAGGCCATGACCAGGAACTCACCCCATCTGATCCACTCCCTTCCCTCTCTCTGTCTAGCCTTCTAGAACTGATGAGCAAGGCACTAGCACAGAGGGGTGGAGTGGAGGAAGGCAGCTGGCAGTAGCAGATAATTTTAGCCTATAACCCTCGTGACGGAGGAGGTGAATGGGATGTGCCCTCAGCTCTTAGAACGTCACCGCTACTGTGAGTGAGTTGAGTTCCAACCTCTGTAAAATCCCTAGAGGCTCAGCCAGTCCATGACCACAAATAAAGAGCCCAGGGCCCAGCTGTTTCTCCTCCCTGCTCTACCAGCTACAGTGTGGGTTCTTTAAGAGCTCCCTGTCTAATGAGCTTCAGGAATCTGCGTCTGCTTTATTTCATTTTATTGGCATCAGATTTCTGCTATTGATAGATAATAAACATTCCCTGAAGTGGTTGAGTTTTGACTTTAATACACACCTGTAAAACCCTTACCATATTCACATACATATCCATCAGCCCCTAAGTTTCCTCATGCCCCTCCCCTTGCCATTCCTCATCCCTCCATGCCCAGGCAACCACTTCCCCTGCTTCCTGTCACCACAAGCGAGTATGCATTTTCTAGAATTCTATGCATATCAACTCATTCAGTACACGATCATCTGCCAGCCTCCACTCAGCACAATTATTCTGAGATTTGTCCAGGTTGTTGCGTGTGACAATAGTTCTTGTTTTTGTGGCTGAGTAATATTCCACTGAGTAGATTTTATTTTTGTTTTTTGTTTTTTTGTTTATTTGTTTTTGTCGGCCGTGGGGCTTGAACTCTGGGCCTGGGCACTGTCCCTCAGTTCTTCAGTCAAGGCAAGCGCTCTACCGCTTGAGCCACAGCACCACTTCCGGTTTTCTAGTGGTTTATTGGAGATCAGTCTCAAGGACTTTCCTGCCCAGGCTGGCTTTGAACCGTGATCCTCAGATCTCAGCCTCCTGAGTAGCTAGGATTACAGCCGTGAGCCACCAGCACCCGGCAGTAGATTCATTTATATGATCATCTGTCCCTTCATATGTGAGTGGTTTCCATTTTGGAACTATTACAAATAAATTTCCTCTGAGCATTTTTTTGCCAGTCTTTGTACTCTTGTTTTCCCAGGGCACAGGTATTACAAAATATTTTTTTAATGCAGGGTTGGTCAAATTGGAAGATTTAGAAACCATGGAAGCAGAGCCCATGGGTGCAAAGATACAGAAATACAGTTGGCTAACTGTATTTTCTGAAGATATTATATACACCCTCAAGTGTAGGAGAATCCCAGTTGCTCCCCAATGCATCAGCTTTGATGGGAGGAACAGGCATGGGACTCTCTGTCTTTCCTTTTTTACCCCATGATCGTCACTTGACCCCCGTACAATCATTTCTCTGCACAGTCCAAGAAAAGAGAAATTGTGCATCATTCACTGGGCACCTAATTGTGTACTTCTGAAAAACCTGTTTCAGATGAAATGTAGGCCAAGCACTCACACCTAGAATCCTAGCTACTCAGGAGGCTGAGATCCGAGGGTTGTGGTTTGAAGACAGTGCAGGTAGGAAAGCCTACAAAATTCTTCTGTCCAATTAACCATCTCAAAATTGGAAGGAGAGCTGTGGTTCAAGTGGGAGAGCACCAGCCTTGAATTGAAAAGGTCAGGGACAGCACCCAGGCCCTGGGTTCAAGACCCAGGACCAGAAGGAAGAGAGGGAGGAGGAGGAGGAGCAAGTAGAAGAGGAGAAGGAAGAAGAGAAGGAGAAAGAGAAGGAGGAGGAGGAAGAAGAAGAGGAGAAGGAGGAGGAGGAGAAGGAAAAGAAGGAGGAGAATGAGAAAGAGGAGGAGACAGAGGAGGAGGAGAAGGTAAAAGAGGAGGAGGAGACGGAAGAGAAAGAGGAGGAGAAGGAGGAAGAGGATGAGGAGAAGGAGCAGGAGGTGGAGGTGGAGGAGCAGGAGGGAGGAGGAGGAGGAGGGGGAGGAGGAGGAGGAGGAGAAAATAATAATGTAGGCCCTACTCTATGACAAAGTTATCTGCCCTACCAAAGTCCAGTTCTAGGGTACATTGTGTGCCTCATTTAGCCATCTACACTGTTCATACCCACTCTGCCTTATACAAACCGCGGAGCCTCTGCAGGGTTGAGCAATCCTGCGGCTCTGACCACAGCCAGTGGACAGCCTGTTGGGGTCAGGGTCACCCAGAGTTGCATCCCATTGCTTTTGCATGGAGCAAGAATTTTGCAACAACAGTTTCTGCCCTGAAGAGTGGGTAAGAACGTCTCCTCAGCAAGCACAATAAGGGAATGGGGCAGCTGCCACTGGGAAATCCTCAAGCAAATAAGGCAATGAACTCACCCCTAAAAGGCTTCAGTCTCTTCTGGAAATTAGCTTGAGTCACATGACAGAGAAAAATTATATTTGCAGGCATTCCAGCACTGATTCCAACCATGGTGTCACTGACTGGGGTGGGGCCAGTAGAGGAAGCAAGATGGCAGAGACCTCAGGAAAAGGAATCTGGGCCAGGAAGGAGAATGCTTGACCCACTCCCATGTTTGGAAAAAGGAAGTACATGGCTAAGTCCCAGCTTCTAGCTTATCACTGTCTCTAAAAAAATTCCTGCCAATCCAGGGAAGAGAAAACAATGTGTTAAAGTAACTAGAGCCAGATGCCAGTGTCATACCTGTAATCCCAGCTACTGAGGAGGCTGAGTTCTGAGGACTGCAGTTCAAAACCAGCCTAGAGGGCTTGGAAGGTGGCTCAGTGGTAGAGTACTTGCCTTGCATGCATGAGGCCCTGGGTTTGATTCCTCAGCACCACATAAGCAAAAAAGAAAAAAGCCGGAAGTGGCACTGTGGCTCAAGTGGTAGAGTGCTAGCCTTGAGCTGAAGAGCTGAGGGACAGCGCCCAGGCCCAGAGTTCAGGCCCCATGACCGGACCCAAAAAAAAAAAAAAAAAAAACAGCCTAGACAGGAAATTCTATGAGATGCTTCTCTCCAATTAACCACCAAAAAGCCTGAAGTGAAACTATGGTTCAAGTGATAGAGGGCCAGCCTTGAGCAAAAAAAAAAAGCTCAGGGACAGTGCCCAGGTCCTGAGTTCAAATCCCAGTACAAGCACACACCGTTAACTTTTTAAAGAGAGGTTACCCAGTAAGAACCACATAACACACGTGGTATTCAGGTAAGGCGTAGGTTTGTTCATCGTTACGGCTGGCACCAGGCCATGTTGGCACCCCACGTGGCTGGGAAAAGACCTGGGAAAGAGATCATCTGGCCCTGGGCTAGGCCTTATCTAGGGTAGGGGCGGGGAAAGGTATGGACACATGGAATCCAGATGTGACCTCAGCGGATGTAGATGTGACCTTTTCCAGGTGTGCTAGTTGCCTAAGTAATGCAGGTACTAGGCAGAGACTTTGCTGCAAGGAGGGTAGACTCTGCTCGCCATCCAGGAGTGGACCTTACACACACATACCTGAAAAACAACTAGAGGGCTGCATATATGCCTCAGGGGTAGAGTACTTGCCAAGCATGCAAGCATAAATGAATCCTGGGGTTCAATACTCACTGCCAAGAAGAAGAAAGAAGAGTAACAGGAGGAGGAGGAGGAGGAGGGGGAGGGGGGGGAGGAGGAGGAGGAGGAGGACCCCCCCCACCCCAGTTTGGAGGGCAGCAGTCCTCTATCACGACTCCAGGGGTCGTATTCAGCCACAGCAGCTCCCAAGCGCACTTTGCAGGGGCTGGAGCCTGGTATGAGCACATGCGGTCTAAGTCAGCAGTGTCAGGCTCTGTCGCTGTTGTTGATATGACTTCACTTATACTTAGAGGCTGGGGTTACCCTGGGAATTCTGGGCAATAAAACTACATAGTTCTTCAAACCAGATGCCAGCAGGAGGCCCACATACAGCCGCTCCCCTAAACTTTGCCAAGTCATCTGGTGCTCAACAGAACTGTGTTAAGCACTGGGATATGGGAACACAGAGATAAAGAGACACACAAACCCTTCCTTACAAGATGGGAAAGGAAGAGCTAAACAGATGGATTACAGACTCTGGGCTCAATGAAGAAAGAAAAAAGGGGAATCAGCCAGATCAGAAGGTATAAAACAGTCCAAGGAAACAGAGAGGACATACCAAGATGCCCAGGGGAAATCCAAACAGTTCCTTGGCAAAATGCAAGTAGTCCCCAGAGGTTCAGTTTAGGAGTTCCGGGGATTGGACGGAAGGAATAGAGCTAGAGAAGTCACGAGGGTCAGCCCCAGGGGAGTCAGAGACCCAGAGAAGGACTGACTTTGTCTGAGAACAACAGGGGTCCTGGAATGGTCAGTAATGCCAGTCCTGGGGCTTGAACTCAAGGCCTGGGTGCTGTCCCTGAGCTTCTTTTGCTCAAGGCTAGTGCTCTACCACTTAAGCCACAGCACCACTTCTAGCTTTTTTCTTTTTTTTTTTTTGTCGGTCGTGGGGATTGAACTCTGGGCCTGGGCGCTGTCCCTCAGCTCTTCAGCTCAAGGCGAGCGCTCTACCACTTGAGCTACAGCGCCACTGCCACTTCTAGCTTTTTGTGTATGTGGTACTGAGGGATCAAACCCAGGGCTTCATGCATGCTGAGCAAGCACTCTACCACTAAGCCACCTTCTCAGCCCAAGGTGATTAAATTTGTATTTCAGGAAGGTCTTCTTGGCAGCAGAATGAAGGGTAGATTGAAAGGGGAAAGACTTAAGGCCAAGATCTAACAGGGGGGGAGGAGGAAGGTAGGTAGGCAGCGGCAAACAGGTGCTATATAGAGATTCATTGAGTTACCATAGCGGCTCTAGGCCATAGGTGCTCATATTACTATACTCACTTTACAGATGATTAAACTGAAACCTACTCAAATTAAATCCTTGCTCAAGATTCCCAACTTGCAAGAGGATCCTAACTGAGCCAGCCCAGCTCCAGCATCTACATCCACTCTGTAACTGTTGTAGATGAGTCCAGAGAAGATAAAGCATGGTCTAACACTGTCAGCAAAGGTGGTCAGGAGACAATAGACAGTCAAGAGTCATGCTAAGAAGAGGAAGAGCAACGGGAGGGTGCAGGGAGAGGCCTGCACACCTCTGGCTTTGGCAGAATAGATGAGCAGATACTCAGAAGGGACGCCTTTGTGATTGGTGTATGTGTTGAATTCACAGCACGGGATGGGCCTCAGAGACATTGCAGGTGGTCATTGCATGTCAGCATTTGGGCTTAGGAGATGTTGGTTGTGAACAGTCCATATGGGAGGTCCT